AGAATTTCAAGGGTTAGCACGGCATAAACTGCACGGCTCACGCTGGATTTTTTAGCTCGGTGAATGTTTTTGGGTTTTTGGTCTGTCTATCCCTATCTCGGCTGGACGGCACGGCTGATTTAGCCTTCCTGGTTTGGTTCTAATTCTATCTTTGGTTTAGTCAAGGCAAGTTTTTGCTCGGTTAGACCTGTTTGCCGATTTTATTAAGCATTTAGCTCGGTTGCGGCCTCAGCGAGCATCCACAAACCATTTTTGCTCGGTTTAAACTCTCTCTACGGATTTAAATGAGCATTTAGCTCAGTTTTGAACAGTGTTCATCCTGTTCATCTCGTTTATCCTATGCTTAAGGCTCATTCGTTCAAACTAAGGGGAAACAGGGGCACGAAAGCCCCCTCCACTCCACCAGTTCCAGTTTTCCTAAGGTATGGCACTATTGGACTAAAAAGGAGGAACCTTAAAGGTCCCAGGCAGGGAACACGAAGCACAGTGGCAGAAAAACGCAAAGAACAGGGAGAACTGGAAAACGGGAGCAGAAAATACAAGGGAGGGGTAGTGTGACTTACCGAAAATGAATGAGAAGTGAGTTAGGCCTCGAGAGCTCGACTGCAACGTCAGGAATGGCAGACACAATAAGAGGCAGCAACGGTTGGGAGCTTGGAACGATGGGAGGCTAGGGTTTGGAGCTCTGGAAGAAGATGGAGAGTGAAGGGTTCGAATGACCCTTGGTCTGTGCATAAAAAGGGGGGAAACCACCCAAACGGCGCAGCCGTTTGAATTCTGCGCGTGCAGAACAGCTGGCTACACGACCCAATGGCGTGAAGCCACTTGGCACTAGAAACGCGGCTGTTAGTACGGCTGTACGACCCTTGATAAGACTGCCGACACGATGGCCGGCCAAACGGGATAGCTCGGCACCAGATATTTCCCCATGATGCTCGGCTCGGTAATGGCGCAATTCAACCGATTAGCTCAGTCACAGAGGTAAACCCAATCACGATAGCTCGGATGGGTTTAAGGGGCAATTGAGAGGGGAGATTTGCACCTGACTGTACGGCCGAGCTGAGATAACGTCAAACGTGACGGACCGCGTAGCGCCGAGCTAATCTCTGTTGACATGGCCAGCGGCCTGCCTTGCACGGTCGGAAATATTGACCGGTCAGGCACCAACTGGCATAGCTGAGCTGTGTCTTGAACGTGTTGGACGGAGCTTGGGTTAGCGGATGCTGACCGGGCTAAAAGGTAGCCCGAGCTAGTCCGTGGGCGCGATCAAGGTCGGTGCACCTTTGATCGGTCAGTCGATATAAAGTGGCTTCGTGCGACCAAGATTGAAGGTAGACCGGTTGGAGGCCGGCATGCCTCGCAACCGGATGGTCATGATGAACCAACCAATGATAGTTCGGTCGAGGTGGGTAGGCTTTCGCCTGATTCCAAGTTATAGGTCGGCAACACATAGCTCGGTTATGAGCATGTAATAGCGGCTCTCCACAAGTGACAGGCCGATCGTGGTACTCCGGTTGAGTATGCCACCTGGGCCAATGGCGTGAAGGAGAGGACATCCACTCCACGCACGCCTCAGTACCGTTGGGCAGTTCTGTGTGTATTGGAGGGAGGACTAAGCCTTTACACGCGTAAGGTGGTGAGAGGCGAGCACTGCCACCTGTCCAGGGAAGGATAGCAGAGGTAGTGCACGCACAATCTTGAGGCTGCATGGCCAGCCTAGAAATATGGAGGAAGAGGGACGTTGGAGGTAAGCGAATTCATCCTATCAAAAACTCTCTCTCTGATAGCCTTCTTCTTTAGCTAGTGGTCTGACTTGATCGTCGGAGGGTCTTTCCGGCACACCACCGCCGGGCAGCTCACCATTTTTGTGTTGCAGAGATAGACGCCGTTACAAGAAGCTTGACGACCAAGGAGTACGGAGAACAGAGGATATTTTGCCCCCGTACAAATAGGATAATGACTTTTTGACCTTTTAACTTTTTTAGGTTATGCCAAACCAATCCTAAGTGTGTTCTCTCCCTCCAAGTCACATGCATAGACCAAATTATGATGAGGCTTAATGGAATAGTACACACTCATTTCAGCATTGTAAATAATTACAATTTGATTTCAACATAAATTAAGTATATGAAAGGACAATTTTGCCTAACGATAAAAATTTGTTGTTAACATCTTTGTTGTGCATGTTTGACTCATATAAATAGCTCCTTTTTTTTTTGATAAAAAAAAACATAAGGGTAAGATTACAAATCCGTACATATTGTCATCTCGGAACTTCACTTCAAAATTTTGTTTATGTCTATAAATATTTTGTTTTTATTTATTTTTCTATATTATTATCTAACTAAATAATATAAAATTATTAATATTTTATAAATAGACAAGCTGAGTTGGGGTTGGACCAAGATGGAGAAATAAATGAACTCAAAATCTCAGTCTAACTTGATCTTATCTTGAGCCCTAAAAATATCAAGTTAAATATGGTCGATTATATGTCAAGGTTGGTAGTCACCCACCCTTAAATGAACAACATTGCTAGGGAGTAATTCAATGTGTAGTTTATGGGAAAAATTATTAAGTGAGATAGGGGAAAAATAATTATACTATATATGAAATTTTTTTTGGTACAACTCTGACGCACAAAAAATATTTTCACCACACACAGAAAAGGACTTGCACCACCATGCACACAAAAAAAATTGCATCACCATGAAAATGAAATTAATTTCTAACAAAATCATTGAAATGCAATTTCTCCTAATTTATGAGATGTCAATATTTTTACTCCTAAATAATAATCACATTATTTTAATTTTCATGGTATTGGCAATATTTTAAATAAAGATAAATCTATCACACTATTTTTTATCTTTTAACCTCTGACAAAGTTTTATCAAGATTTATTTTTATTTATTTAATTATTTTGATTGTCTGTAACATTAGTTGACTATGAACAGCTCATGCATGGCCGGTGTCACTTTTATATGTAAACAAATTAACATTTATTAATATTTAGTATATTTTGGTAATGGTGTAAACAAATTCTATTTAGTAACTTAACCATGGTGTTAAAAGTTAGGAAAATGTCTCGTACCTCAAATTTTGTGATTTAAAAGTGGCTCAAATGGCCAAAACGACGTCGTTTTGGCCATTTTTATATTGTTCTGTACTCAAAACGACGTCATTTTGACCATTTAAACCACTTTTGAGTCATAAAATTTAAGTTACCTAACATTGTCGTAAAAACTATTCTATTCTATGATGTTTTCCTAGTTCTCAGTGGTCAAATCTAGTCATGTGTTTCACATAAATACTTGATCTAAAAATCTTTTTACGTCCACCTCTGAATCAACCCAAAACTATTTGTAGCTCCTTATTCACCTAGTAGCTTCCCTACCTCAGATCGATCTCTCTCTCCAGTAATGCTATGAATTTGAAAATAAGGAAATCTAGGACAAGAAAAAAAAATTACACAAACACAGAATTGCACTCCCATAATATTATATTTGAGTTCCGTCTCTTTACAACATGACTCCTATGTTTTATTTAATTTTTTTGGTCGTACACCTTGAATTGTAATTCTTCTTTTGGAATTTCATCCAAAAAAAAAAAAAAAAAAAAATTTATTGTGTGGTTGAGATTCATTTTAAATGTGAATTTTATTATACAATATTTAAATTTGAGCAACACATCACTTTTTGGGTCAATTTTTTTGACAATTTTTCTAGGTTCCTATATATATACTAGTGGGGATGGTAACATATGATACCTTTGTAATTTGAAATCTTAATTTTGAAGGATTTGATGAATAAGGAAGTTGCGTTAAATTTCAAAACCATTTATTAGTTATTTACTGGATGTAGAGATCCAAATTGAACAAATTATACTATCTATCAAAAAAAAAAAAAAAATGATCAAATTGTAGTCTTGAAAAAAATAAAATAAAATGAACAGCTGATAATTTTATCGACATTTTTTAAGAAGGAAAAAATGACGGAGTCTTACAAAATGCTCTTACTAAATTGTTGTATACTGTATGAGCCAGAAATAATATTTCTCGTATAATTCTGTTGATCAAGCATGCACTCCTTCAAACGTTGTCATCTAATCACTTAAAAACACAAACATGAACTAGTCAACGAGTGTGTGTCGGAAGCCCCTCCGATGCCTAAGTCAACAAATAGACCATAGATGCCAAAGCTCAGTCAATTCGGAGAGTAAGAATTGTAATACCTGAGATTAGGGTTTGGTTTAAGCTTTTATAGATTTCACATGACATAATCCTAATAGAACTTCAACTCTCTTATGTAAAGTCCTTATAGAAATCACATTCCTAAAGGATAATGGTTATCCTTTAACACCCTCCTCATTGCAAGCTAAGTAAGATGGCACAAGTCTTTGCTCGGCTTTCTGCCGTGCAACCGGACTACTTTTGCTCTGTCCGCCAATGGCATAGCTGTGCAACATGCAGCGTCATGCAATGTTTGCACGGCGCACCACTAAGTTAACATTGCACAGCTCTCCTTCTAGCTCTGCTCTCCTCTCTGCTCAACTACCTTGCTTGGTAGCTCGACCTTGGCGTTAACCGCCATTAGAAAGTAGCTAGGTCCAGAAATATGCGCATTTACTAGTTCGGTCAAACATCTTTGACTATCACTAAGAAATAGTTAGGTCCAAAAATATGGACACTTACTAGTTTGGTCAAATATCTTTGACCGCCACTCCAACTTAACTTGTCTCAATTTGACGACACAAATTACCCTCTCATGTACGCACAACTTAATGAGTGTTTTGTTAACAACTGAACAAACTTTAAAATTAATTAGATAAGAGCAATTACATAACATCCATACTAGGCACTCGGAAAATTTATTCATAAAAGAAATTATGTAATTGAGATTCATTTGAACCAGTCCCATTATGTATTAGTAATTTGTAGGTAAATTTTCTGGACAAAAAACTTTTCTGATTACATAAAGAACAATTTCACAAAGAGAAAAATTGTGAATGAACTTTATATATATATGCAACCTAATAGAAGAGAAACCTAAGGAAGAGTGACTGTGAAGAGTTTCAAATACCCCAGTGTGAAGAGTTTCAAATACCCCTCTCTCTCTCTCTCTCCAAAGTGCCTAAATCTAAGCCTTTTGGTATTCTCTAATATCAACTAAGAGTCTAAGAGGGTCTCATCTCAACTGCTCAAATCCCATTACTTACTTTCTTTCTCTCCATTAAGTCTTGTTTGGTTGGAAAAACTCACCAACCTCAAGAACAAACAACTTGGGAGAGTTTTCATCTAAAAATCTCTTCTCTTCCCATTTCTGTAACTAAAAAAAGGAAATGAACAAACAAGACTTCTTCAAGCCTCAGGTACTTTCCTCCACGTAAATCATATGTTTTGTCTCTTTTAAAACTGTTTACGACGTGGTGTGTTCTGAGTTATGATGCCATGTGTTTGAAATAATAACTAAATCACTTGAGTCGTAATTTCGAGCACATTGGGTTGTAATTTAGATCATATCTCGTCGTAATGCATATTAAATGTTTCAAATGTCGTATTATTTTCTTTGTATGAGTCAATTGTCTGTTCTGTTTTGGGTTTTTATTTTTTTTCCTACTGCAGATTTGCGTTCTCAGAGTGAATATACACTGCAATGGGTGTAAGCAAAAAGTGAAGAAACTGTTGCAAAAAATTGATGGTAACTTGCCTCATTTTTAAAATTTTAACTTCCTCATATATATATATATATATATATCTATAATGTATGTGTTCGTGATGTATTTATGGACTTGAAATGAAAGGTTTTTTGGTACTATTCACTTAAGCTGAATAGCTAAATTTGAGATGTAGATTTCAAGATTGAATTTGAGAGTTTTGTTACGATGATTTTGAAATAACAATGTAAAAGTAGTCATTTGAAATCTTTCATGTTTCTATAGTTTTACAAAGATATTAATAAAATACTTATCTTCTATTTCTAATTTATGTTCCTCTTTTGTTTCATACCTATAATAGCTTCATTTTTTTGAAATTCAACATCTAAATCCTTTCATTTGAGATCCATCCTAATGGTTCCTAAGAGAATTGTGTTATTTTGATAGACTAACGCATATACAAATAGAAAAAATGTACAGAATAATATAACCACAGCGGTACTTATCATTTCAAAACAAACTGTCCATCAAAATGACATTTAATTATAGAAATGTCACAGCTACATAATTTTAGTTTATTTTGTTAATTTTTTTATTATTGTTTTGTTTTGGATAGGGGTGACTGGCCTCGCCATAGATGTAGAGCAAGGGAAGGTGACAGTGGCAGGAAATGCAGATCCATCCATACTCATAAAAAAACTTGTGAAATCAGGCAAACATGCAGAGCTATGGGGAGCCCAAAGGGCTTCAAATCCAAACCATCTCAACAACCAATTCAAGAACTTGCAAATTGAGTTTGGCAAAGGTGGGAAAGACACCAAGTCTCAAAAGGGTGGCCCACAATTCAAACACCAAATCAAGCCTGCCAAAGGCTCCAAAGATCACAAATCTGTCAAGTTCAGCTTGCCTGATGATGATGACTATGCAAGTTTTGATGATTTTGATGACTTTGTTGGAGATGAGTTTGATGATTTTGATTTTGATGTTACCCATAAACCACCCAACAAGATGATGCCAATGATGGGTCATGGGCATGGACCCCATGGGCCTAAGGGTATGATGGTGAATAGCCATGTCATGAAGGGAAAAAAGGGTAATAATAATGGTGGTAATGCCAAAAAGGAAGATAGCTTTGATTTGCCTATACAAGTGAAGGGCATGCCTATGCATAATGATGGGAAGAATGGGAATGGAGGAAAGAAAGGCGGTGGCGGTGGAAATATTAAGGGAGGAAATCAGAATCAGGGTGGTGGAGGTGGTAAAAATGGAGGAGGAAATGGTAAGGGTGTTGGTGTCGGTGGTGGGAACAATATTAATGATTGGGGGATGAAAGGGGGAGGGAAGAATGGTGGGCCCAAAGCAATGAGCAATATGCAACAAGGGTTCCATGACATTGATACGAGTCACAAAGGGGTAGGTGGTGGGAACATGGGTCAAATGGGAAATTACCCAATGGGGCAAATGGGTAATTATCCAATGGGTCATATGGGGAATATTCCGGCAGTACAAGGACTACCGGCGGCGCCAACTGCCGCCATGAACGGTGGATATTACCAAGGGATGGTGCCCGGCAACCCTTATAACCAACAACAACAACAGCAACAACAACAACAATACATGGCAATGATGATGAATCAACGGCGAATGATGAATGGAAATGACATGTTCCAACCAATGATGTATGGGCGGCCGCAACAGGCAATGAGTTACGGGCCGCCAGTGCAGCCGCCTCCGGCAGCCGATAATTTCACCCACATCTTCAGTGATGAGAATGCTAACAGTTGTAGTATCATGTGAAATGCCATACTGGTGTAATAGTACTCTATTTTGGTTTGGTATGTTGGGCTTTTGTGCCTTATAGTGAGTACTTTTGGATTAAGAATTCAAATAGGGGCATTGAGGGATCGGTTATGATGACTCCATAAAATATGATGATACAAGCAGGTAAGATTAGTTTGTAGCTCTCTTAAAAGAATGTTGTATCTATATTTTGTTTGAAGTTCGTTCAAATGGGAAACACTATTAGGTTCAAATCTCATGATCATATTTTCTTCTCTTTCTCTTTTCTTTCCTTTCCTTTTAAAACTGTTTACAATAAGTTCGAATGAGAATTGAGTACTAAATTTTGGGTTAGCAATTAATAGAACAACAAAAAAACAAATTGAGTTGGGTGGAATTGATTGAAGAAGCCTTACAAAAATTGCCCAAAGCAGTACTTGTGGAAGCAACCAATGTTGCTTTAACAACCCACCATTGCAGCGTGGATTTTTTTTTCTTTTTTCTTTCCAGCATAATATTATTTACAAAGATGAGAAAGATTAAATGGACAATTGGCTATTTTTTGCTAACGTTTAGAGTTTACTGAGATAATTATTGGCGGTGGCCAAAAGTAGCTGTAGTAAGCAGGAGTAGTAGTCGAAAGTGATTATCAAGAAGTCGGAGATAGTGACATTAATACAAGTGCTAATATATTATTTGTAAAGATGCAACAAAAAATAAACTATAAAAAATAGAAATAAAAGAGTTTTTTTATTAAAATACATTTTTTGTCCAAGCAAACAAAGGGTTAAAGTGAGGTGGGAAAACAGATGTGGGACTCTCAAGCCTTGCAACCGACCTATAATGGAAAAAATAATGTATAAAAAAAGAATTAGATATAAAAAGATAAAATATAGATGTGAATACATTTACAATTACATATGTGAACATTTTTTTTGTCTCATATGTGTATTCTGTATCCTTTATGTATATATATATATATATAAAATTGAAGGAGTGTTACAAAGTAAAGCGTTGATGGCTAAAGGAAATGATTGTGGGTTTCAATCTTTAATCAAGGGGGCCAGATTTATCACTTTCCAGCTAGTATTCAGAGTTGAGACCCCCGACCCAAAAGCAAAAGGTTTTCCCCCAACGCAACATTACAACGGCCATTTTTTTAAAAAGCTTTTTTGGTTTGGTTTGCTTTAATTACACACAAACAACTCTTTTAAATAGATATGTCGTTATTGCTTTGCTTTTCTTTATTTTTATTTTTAAATTTCCTCAATTGAGCAAAGACTTAACTGACAAAGGCAAAAGTTGTAGTACTAGATTTCCCAAATGCCCCCTGGCTTGATTTTATTATTATTATTATTCTTTTTTTTTTTTAATATGATAGTTTTTGAATTTAAGGTTTTTATTGGGTTTCTTTTTTAGAACTTGAATTCTTATTTAATTAATTAATTAATTAATTAAAATAAAGAAAAATAGAACTGCTAATAATAGAAGAAATTTGCAAAAAACCAAGACTTAACCCTTGTAACATATAAAATTTTAAGTTTTTAATTTTTTCCATTTAAATCTTAAATTTCTGAACTAGAATCAATTCAATCAGTTGTTTATATCCATTTCTTAATCTAACGGTGAAAGAAATAATCTTAACAATTTACAAATGTTGTTCTCTCTCAAATTATGTTTACGACTCACATTTCCTTTCCAATTATTATCCATTATAATCTCTCTTTTTCCAATCCACCATCACCCATCCTTCTCTAATTGCCGTCCATAACCATCCCTTTCCCTTTCTAAACCACCAACACTTTTCCCATTTGACAGCCCACAACCAGCCCCGCTTCTCTTTCCTGACCCATTGCCACCCCCTCTAATATACTAAAGTGTATGCTTGGACTATAATGAGTGGTTAGAATGATTGATAAGGGGTTTGTGATTTGCTATGATTAAAGTGAACTTGGGATGAACATCAAGTTAAATAAACAAATGAGATTATAACTTCATGTATTGTAAAAGTTTTGTTTTGGATAGATGAAGTATATGAGTCTAATATACTAGTTTGGAATACAAATTTTGTATTAAAGAAATTAGAAACTTAATGTCATTTCTATTCTATTATATAAAGTATATGAGTGTTTTGGGAAATTGGTAAAAAGTTAATTTTTTTATTTTTTTAGTCTATTTTGTCTTTTTGTTGGTAAAAAATGTGAGAGATGATGTGACTAAAAATGGATAAAAAGCTAAAAACTGCCTTTTAATTTTCTTCCCAAAAGACCCCTATATAACCTAGTTTTTTTTTTTCTTTTTTCTTTTTTTCAATGAACATTCATAAAATTGTTAACTAATTTTTTTTTTCCCTCTTCCAATTAAGTATTAAATGATTTTCAGATTTAACCTATTTTTCTCATTTATCAAACTGCCTACAACTTTATTTGTTTCAAATTATAGCCCGTCACTTTGCAACCCACATCTGATTTGTTATAAAGGTTAAACATTACGGTATATTTATATTTTTAAATTTTTTTCTTAATAATGATATCAGCACTTGTTTGTTTTGGAAGATAGAGGAGAGATTGAGATTGAGATAAGGGTGTGATCCACTAATATTTTATTCATTTTGAGAGTTGAAGAGGAGATTATAATCCCCTCCAGATTAGGATGGGCTTTGAAGAGGGGATTAGAATGGAGGCTTGAGACTTGGTATTACAAAATAGTCTGTCAAACTATTGTATTTTATTTATTCTTTTATTTTTTACATGTTGGGCATTTTTTTTTTTTTAACATTAACGTTTAATTTTTTTGCATTTTTTATTAAGTAAAAATTATTGTTTTATATGTTTTATTTTATTTTTTACATGTTGGGAATTTTTTTTTTTGAACATTAATGTTTAATGTTTTTGTATTTTTTATTTGTTTTATTATTTTATATTTATTTTATATAAAAATATTTAATAATCCTTACATTAGCAACTATTATCAAAACAAATATAATTTTATTTAATTCACTTACTAACAATCCCATCACTATTAATTCCCTCACTATAAATCTTATCTATTCTACCTCTGAAAACAAACGGGTGCTCAATGACCGGGAGAATGATGATGTTGATAATGATGACAAATAGAATGAATTTAAAATTACATGATTGTTGGCTTTTTTGGCTTTCGAAAATTAGAAATGTAATTTGAGCATGCCAGTAAAGATCAATAAGTCTTTATAAAGATTAGTAAATGCCAACCAATTAACCAGACGATTGCTTCGAAGTTCTTTTAGTCTCAATGAAGAGGAATTTTACTAGTGGCTTATTTTTACGAGAAAATTCAGAAGGTCACAAAAATAAAAGAAAGAAGGAGAAATAATTTTAGAAATCAAATTTCATTAAATAACCAAGAGTTTACAATTTGTACCTTCGCACTTTTACAGCTTTGAAGGGGATTACAGCAACAGACTATCTTAGAACTACTCCTAGGAATTGGAAGCGTAGAACAGGAAAATAAATGACAGGAAAATAAAGAACTGGAAATGTAAAGGACATGAAAATATAAAGCAAAATAAACTGGCTTCTAGATTTGTATAAGGTTTTTCACTATCAGCCTTTTCTTCTATTTATAGGCTCTGAGGATAACCATCGAAGTGGCTGATAACCGTTGAAGTGGGTGACAACTATCGAAGTGATCTCTATGATGGCTTTGAATAGTTTGCTTCCACTATATTACTTTTGCGGTTGGGCTTTCCTTCTAAATTTGAATTTAAATTGTAAGTAACCGTTTTACCACGTCACTTTGTGTATCTTGACTGTTCTCATGCCTCACAGATCCATCGCCATTGATACAAGTCGCCACGTGTCTGTTGATGGCTGGAGACCTTCATTGATTCCCCAAATAACCCCTCATGGACCACGTATCAGACTGTGATTAGTTTGTACAAAATATACTGTCAACAATGATGCTTTAATCATCCAATGGGCTTTTGTTTATCTTATTTAATATTTGAGAAACATATGATTGGAAAAAAGAATTAAATTAACCAAAAGTATGTAAAGCGTGATTGCAAAAAAAAATTGGAGAGCTAGAAAATAAAATTAATAATGGATCAACTGAAGAGATTCTGTAATAATTATTAAATTATTTATATGACTATTTTTAAATTCTCATTTCAAAATAAAAACTCCATTATTTAATCATTTATTTAAAAATACTATTTCACATCTTTCTAAATATATATAAAAACTTTATTTGTAAATCATTTTCAATATGTACAGAAGGCTTCTTACTTCGTGAAACACAGATTGGTGAATCCCCAATAATTGAATGCATTGGAAGAAAGAAATGAATGTGTTATTGTCTGTTTTGGCCTTGTTTTCATTTTCTGTAATTATGTGTGCTGTTTTCTGATCATACTGCCGAACAGGTACTCAGCTGGAGAATACCGGTAGAATAGATTGCGCCTGAACGACTTGTCACAGAAAGAAAAGACTTCGGCGGTAGTTCGTCCACCCGGGGATACTTCAACGATCAAGTCAATGCTCAATTATCTCTCAAAGATAATAATTAGTGTTTAACTCGCTAACCAGAACACAAAAAGCGTACTTTAGACCCGCGATGGTGCCCTTATTTTATAGCCAGCACTAACTTGATCCATGTAGAAGTCTAGCTCCTCTCGGACTCTAGCTCAATGCTCATCCTGGACTCTCCAATAGATAAAGATAAACTCCCTAAGAGCTTTATCCTTATCCAGGTTGAGGTCCTCCCCCATTCTAGGACTCTTATTCCCTATTCGTTCATCTGGGATTCTGGTATCTTTGCAGGTAACCTCGGCCTAGCCGAGATCACCTCGGCGTCAAGACCAGGACACATGGCACCTCGGTTGGCACTTTGGTGCCACCTTGGCCACGTGTTGCCCTCCAAAAAATATGTCCCCACAATTGCCCCTTAGGTTCTATTACGTCGGTATCCTAAGGTGATGGAACCTATATCATTTGAACCTATAGCACGCCGGCTAAACTTGCTATATCCTTTATTACCGAGGTCATCATTCGTCGGCTCCATATAACCAAGACTTGTAGTCTGTTTAGAACCAAGGACCAAGTTTTCCAAGTTTCTTTAACCGTGATCATTCCCATAGCCGAGGTATTTGCATCATTAAATCAAGAACTCTGAGAGTTTCTACACGCGTATGAGTTTCTACACACGTATGAGTTGTCACGCACAGTAACTCAACTGTTTCTGCTACGCGTCTCTCCCCTATTGAACCGTACCTGACACGGGCCATCAAGTTGCGTC